TTTTTTCTATTGTAATAGTAAACCACAAAACAAATTTGTTGTGAGATTAGGCTTGAATGGAGATGCCCCTTTAACTGAAGACTGCCAACACATTACATTTGTACTAGTATATTTTGTGAAGTTTTGGAAATTGCGCAAATGCGTCAATGACACATGATCACAAACAACCAAATGAAACCCAATGGAAATGGAATTGCTGATCTTTCAAGAAAGAAAAACAATTCTGTAATTGGTCGAGATTTGTGGGAGTTAAATTACATTGAATGTTGTAATCTTTCATACTAGGCGTGTATGTATATATAATTAGCTGAAAAGAAATAATATATTTATTGCTATTTGTTCTGACATTTTTCAAGTTTCTGTATGGATCGAGAGTGTAAATTTGTCTTTACGATAACAGTGTTCAGTTGTACATCATTTCCCTAATTTCTTTAGCCATTTCATATATGTACATACACAGGATACTTTTCACAGTGGAAAGCCGGTGGGAAATTTCCTGTGTAAACATCTCACATTCATTGCATTCATTGGTCTGTTTGTTTACACTTAATCACGTAAACAGTGATAATAAGCATACCACCAAAGAATATACCAGTGTTGCTTATGCTAGTCTGTTCAATTAGCAGTCTGTGATTAACGATAATAGTAGATGACTAATTGGCCAGCAGTCGCCTCCTGAGGGAAATGTAGAGACATATATCTTAAAAATCTATGGGGACAAATGTCTCACATTTCATGCATGGAGCAAAAAAAAAATCAATCAAAAGTTGACTGTATATTTTCATATACTGTAAAGTACTTTATTTTCACTTGGAATTTATTTTCACTGAAGGGATTAATCAGTGAAAATAAAATCCAGTGAAAATATTATTGTTTACTAAATATTACATTCAACTCATCAACAATCATTGAAAATAAACTTCATATAAAAGCCAAAATGCCTTTTTTCAGCAAAAATTAATTCTCGCTGAAATAAAGTATTTTACAGTATGTAAATATTCTCCATTTTCACTGGTAAGTGAAATTGGCTGAAATAAATCCATGTGAACAAGTAGAATGCATGAAATTCATGAACATGCACAAAAATTGAACTCTTTGAATGCGAAAGTCAACTTTTGTCACAATTCACAAATTATGAACTGACATAATTTTTTCATAATTTTTCAAAAAAATGTGATTAAGGCATGTAGTAGGCAATAGTAAATTATGTCCATGTGATTGAAAATTAGCAACAAAAATGTTGCACTGAAAGTTGGTGCTCAAAGTGTCAAAATAGTGAAATTTGAAGACAGTATGCTAGGATAGGATAGTAGTATAGTGAGAATTGTATTTATCAGTTGCAGACGTTTCAGTAAATGTAATTTTGTTTCCCAATTCAATACAATTGTAATAAAGCAAAATAAAGAAAAAGATCTGTTTATCCCTGACATAAATAAAATTCCAAGAACATGAAATGCACAGAAGTGTGTGTATATCTATACTGTGTGTATAGCCCTTAGCCTTGTAACTGTTGTACACACAGTACTGTAGAGAGGAAGACACTGAAGTATGATAACCATCACCACCTGCAGCTAAAAACAACTTTCTGTATAGTGTATACAAGCTGCAACACATGTGCTTTTAATAATGAAGATCATATAGGTTTCATCTTCCAAGAAAATAAATCTACTTGTTTATTTAGCCAACAATAATATTGATAAATGAGGTATTATAGTATATAATACTGATACTCAACCCTCTTATTAATTAAGGAGATTATTAATTAGGGATTATTAAAATAGGCACCCAGCACACAGAATCTCTTCATTTGGAAAGGGACAGTGAACAGTGATTTCAATTACTGAAGGTAAAAATCACACTGTGCTGTTTGCATTAAGTTAATCATTTTATTTGCAATGTTTTTGCAGATGCCTTATAGATGACTTAATTGCTATTTCCATTGTTTTCTATTGTGTTGCTATCTGCAACATTTCATTTTTGTATTTTAAGATTGGCTAACTTCAAAATACAAATTTTAATATTTAATTTTCCCGGTATTGAAATGAATTGAAATGAATGCTGATATTAAAAAACAGTTTCCAGGAAATGATGTGCTATCATTAAATACCCAGTAGTGTTTATATTATACATACTCAACCAATTCATCAGAGCTATGGATGGTTTTACTGATATCCAATTTGACATTACAATGACAGTGAAGATAAAAATATGAGTAAAAAAGTCTAATGAACAGGCAATTTTAATTTTGGATTTCAATCATAAAATATTCAAATAACTTCAAATAACTAAAAAAATCTCCTTCATTTGAAATTTTAAAACTTATAATTAAGTTATAATGAATAACTTTGAACTGTCAACTATTGCATCGCACATGTGAGACATTTGTGTTGATAAACATTGATTTTCCCACAATCCATTGCATTCTTCTAATGTACAAGTTTTGACCTTGGCACAACTTCCACTAATTATTGGGTGACTTCTTCCAATCACCTTAAAATACCTAATTAAAGCTTAGTAACATCTGTCAAAATCAACGTCACAATTTTTGTTTATATGAGACCCATATCTCTTTGGTCTGTTGTCTTGCAATTATGGACAGTGGACCATCCCTTATTCCAAAATAACACAAACATCTAGTATCTCAAGCTAGCCCAATAGATCCTTGGACTAAAGTTTATATATTTTCTGGCTGCAACTCACTGAATTTACACATTATGTATAGTGACTGTATCTATGCATTGCTGACTTATAGCAACAAAGGGCTTCCCAGCAAAGTTATTTAACACGAATATGATTGGGATGGGGTAGATCATTTAATTGCAGATGTGAAAAATGACATCTAAGTTAGGTTGTCATTCACTACATACCCACAGGTAGAAGAAAGCATATAAAAATACAACATTGATGGTATGACCATAGCAGTTAATAATTTACATTTGTGTTCATTAGCATGAAATAAACTTTTTCATTTATGTGGAAACATGGGAGCCTCAAGACAAGGGAAGGTAGCAATGTGGATGCACTACTGGTCACTTTGCTATGATCTAAACGAAGAAATACATCTTCATATTATACATCTACATTGTATCACAAAGAAACAATAGAATTCGCTATTTCCCAAAAAAGCTGTGTCAGTACAAATTCTAAAAATGTATCAGCACTCATTTGAATGTTCAAATTTGTTCTTATACATGTATGTAGTAAGCTACATCACCCATATAAATGCATTGCAGGATATTGACATCACATGCGAGCACTTCCTTTTTTATATTGGATGTGAAGTGCTATAGTGGTGATGGAATTCGGTCATTCGCGCAAACGTTCGCACAGCGCAAACAATTTTTTTTGGTCATTTTGATCTGTAATATCTCAATAAATTATTACAAGAAAAAGATCTATAATAATAAAGTTATCAGGCAAACAATAGGTGTAGAATTGACCTCTGCTAAGCTTTGGATGATACAATTCCCAAACTGCCCTCAAGATAACCTCATATTATTGATATTTTTATCATATTCTGATTTTTCTAGAATCCAATTTTTATACATTTTATGTGATTTAGAGTCAGTATACCAGTAATGTGTTAACAAATGTCTGTCATTTCCTAGATTAAATACCAAACTATTTCAAGGATTCAAATTCAATGAAGAACAAAAATATATATAAAACAAATACAGCTGAACACAACACTGACAATAGAGATTACATTGCGGAAGGGTCATTAGACATAGATAGGCCTTTATATACATATATACACATGTATATTATACCCGGTACATGCAGTCCCTGTACTGTAACCCTCGTCTAAACTTGGACAACATTTTGAGAGTCTGAAAAATAGATATTGACATATTTACACACATTATCTCAATTGACTGTGGGGTAAACATTTCATGGGAACTGACAATCAAAAAGTATATCTAATAACTAAATATTAACGTAATCTGCTTTAACAGAATTATGGCAATTGCAACAGCAGGCAGTGGATTAGTGAGAATGAATACGCACACACTGCATTGTAATGGTACAATGTATATGATACATAGAGGAAAATACTCAAATTTAAAATAGCAGGCACACGTACATTGTATTTTGGTTAGAACATTTTCATTTTGTTTTAAGTTTGATGAAATTCAAATAAAACACTGTTCATATTGTTTCTTTTTAAATATTATGTTTTAACAGCGTATTATGGGTGGTACATGTACCACTGTCCCAATATAATAATCTACTGTAAAGGGGTTAATTATTTACTGGGTTTTAACTTTGTATATTTCGCTGACTAAAAAATGTGCTAAATTAAAACCCATTGAATATGTAAAATTTAGCATAGAACACATTATCTAAATGATAAAACCGTGAAATTTAAACCCAGTGAAAATTAGTATTTTTAGATATTTTTAAAATAGCTATAATAATTAGTATTAAATTAATAAAAGTTATAATAAATTATAAACTGAATGCCACAACTCTTGTATCAATTCCAAATGCTAGTGATACAGTCTACGTTTTTAGCTCCATGATTAAATAGCAGCAAGCCATTTAGAAGGGCAGTAGAAGTTCAAATGCGTCCTATCCTATCATTTGCTGGTTTACGGCGTTGTTGTGGTTATTACTGACACAGTTCTGCTAGCTCACAGACACTACCATAACACGCGCGCAGACGTGTGGCACAAACGGAGTGACATGGAGCATGACCAAATACATCGGGCATAGAACTTATAGAAATTGTAGACGACGCAACGCATTCCCACCACTAATGTCGAAAATGTGCGATTCTCGGCGACATATATGATGCTATATTAAAATTGATTTGAGGAAGGTCATACCTGAATGTTGCTATATTCATAAAACGCGAGGAGATTGCGAATGTTCTGCTTTCGGAACTTGGAAATGGCAAAACAATGAGAGACACAATTTACTTCATGAGCGCCACCATCTTGAATCACTATATAAATCGCCCTCACCGACGGATTTGTGATTTAATTCCACATCGAACGCGAGAGGGCGTAAATTACCCTGTTTCTCGCTTTGTGAAACCCGTCCACTTGTCCTTTTCGTTGACCGACTAACCATAAGTAAGTTCTTTGAAACCGGTTCCGTGTTATAAATGCTGTAATACACACTTATCTTTAACTCATTTCTAATTTGTTTATATCGTTTTATGATTTCAACTTTTAAACATGTCCCTTGAACCACTGACAGGAATACTGTACGTCATTTTAGTTGTTTTAGCAGTGTTTTTGTGACAGCATGCGGAATCGAATATTGCAAATCCAAGATGGCAGCCTCCATGCAACTTAACTGGAAACCACGTTGTTTTCAAATGTGAATAGACATTCATGCACAATAAATAACAACTACATGGATTTGTTTCTGTTGTCTCAATTGATGTGTTATCGTAGTTTTTTGTGCTGCAATGGAAGTATGTTTATATTCTGCTTAGGTCGTAATGGCGGCTATCGCATCAACTGAGACATGGGATGAGCCTGCTGTAGGGCCTGTTGTGGCCGAAGCTCCTGAAGTTAAACTCTTCGGGCGTTGGAGTTGTGACGATGTACAAGTCAGTGACATAAGCTTGACTGTAAGTATTTTGATTGCCTGAGAAAATCTGAACATAAAGTAAAACAAATACTGTGGAATGCTTTATTTTCGCTTGGAATTAATTTTCGCTGAAGGAATGTTTCAGTGAAAATTGAATCCAGCGAATATACCTGTTTTCCTATCTTTTACATTCAACTCGACAAAAATCAGTGAAAATAAATTCCACACCTAAAAAGTCTTTTCAGCGAAAATAAATTCCAGTGAAAATAAAGTATTTTACAGTAGAGTTTGACAGTTGCGTTAGTCAGGGGCCAAAGATCTGGGTATGGCTTGTAGGAGAAAGGCGCGACAGTAAACTTTTTAACGTTATCCGATATTATAGACTAAAAATGTCTAAGTTAGACGTACATATTTATAATATTTACATAAATCTAACTCCTACACCCGGTAGGGGACTTTGCAATATCCCTAGACACTCCAGTGATTGTTGCAGATGCAACAAGTTACATACCCGCTCACCTAACAGTTGATCAAAAAACCAGACGCAGTATGCCTTTGATGTGTGGCCACAAAGGATGGTAGTCGGACTATTTCATTGCTTTGTACATGTAGGTACAAAAATCATTGATGTATAACTTTTGGAAGAAAAATAATATGAACATAAAACCGGTAATGAATATTAACAAGGAATCATCGCCTGGTCAATCTTTCCCTGGAATCTTCTACTTAGTTTTACCTCCACTCCGTCTCCATATACCAGTTTCAAATATCCTTCAAATCTGAGACGAAATTTGATAAACTCAAACTTCAGTCAATGACAGCCGATACTTCTGTTTGAACGTATCCTATCGATGTGACAGAAATGTTGCACAATTCCTTGAACCATTGCCCTTGCTAGTCCAACTTCAAGAGGTGAACAATTTTCATAATAGCAATAATTGTTCAAAATCAGAAACTGCATTCAAAACTAAAACTCAAGAGGGCAATTTAGATAATTTCATTATGTTAGGGGAGTTTTTAAATTTGTATCAACCAAGTTTATTATTTTCGCAAAACGTTCAAAATAGATTTTATTAAATGAACGAGCATATGTATGCATGAAATAAGTGTCTGATATCAACAATGAATAAAACATGATTGGTCAGTTGTTTTGATTAACTGTCACACGAGTGGGTATGTAACTTTATTGCATCTGCAATGGTCACTGGATCGTGTGGGAGTTGGGTATATTTAAATATCTTTCACCCACTGTAATACTTTATTGGCATTGGTGTAGAATAGGGGTTTGTAGTTGTATCTTGAAAATACAATCTTATTAATAAAATCATTACATGCTATATACTTTCTTGATCAATAAACTATTTATCTATAACAAAACATTACCTAACTAAATTTGTCTTCAATTGCATTTACTGCAAAATGGCGACAATGAAGTTGAAACATGCCCTTTATGCTCTTTTATGACAAGATTGCTTGGATTTTTTTTTCAATGTCCAGCACATATTACAAAAAAGTATGGAACACTGAATGTTGACAAAAGTTCTCCCCACAATAAAATATGGGTGATTTGTGTCTGTCTGTCCCTTTATATTTTCCAACCTTGATTACACAACAGTCACTATGGATGTAAAATTTGCATGTTGATACAGTTACAATATTCATTGTTTTTATAATTACAGGACTATATTGCTGTGAAGGAGAAGTATGCCAAGTACCTTCCACATAGTTCTGGTAGATACGCAGTGAAAAGATTTCGTAAAGCACAATGTCCAATTGTAGAGCGTCTTACAAACTCTATGATGATGCATGGAAGGAATAATGGCAAAAAGTTGTTGACAATGAGGATAGTAAAACATGCATTTGAAATTATCCATTTACTCACATCAGAGGTAAATTTATATTGTATCATGTATCATACTTGTTTAATAGAAATGCATATAAATCCAATCATTTTTTTTTATTACCTGATAACGCCAACAATAAGTCATGAGGAGATCATGTGAAAATCGGTATTTCACGGTCGCTCAAACTTCTAGCTCAGAAAATTTTGTTTTCAATTCCACCATTCTTTCTTTTTCATTACTAATTATTTTATTTGTGATCAATTTGTTTTTTCTAGAATCCTCTACAAGTCTTAGTGAATGCCATTATCAACAGTGGACCACGTGAGGACTCCACACGTATTGGCCGTGCTGGAACAGTCAGACGTCAGGCTGTGGATGTGTCGCCTCTGAGGAGAGTTAACCAGGTAAAACATCTACGTAAAATTAATATTTTATAGATTGTCTATTTCTCGCTACTCACTGAGATGATTTTACAAAGTGAGCCTTAAACTGAACATTATTTTTGTGCACAGATATGTAAAACTTGTGTTGTGTATAAGCCAGAGTATTTTACTGAAGGTTTGAGGTGTTATGGTAAATCAAATGTTGCTTGCTTGTTACTTTGATTTTTCATAATTTACTTACAGGCAATCTGGTTATTATGTACGGGTGCACGTGAAGCATCTTTCCGTAATATTAAGACAATTGCTGAATGTCTGTCTGATGAGCTGATAAATGCAGCCAAGGTACGTCATATTGTCAATTCCACCCACTGACTACGGCATATTTCACTGGATTTGCCAGTATTGAAAGCTTATAATTGCTGTGATGACAGTGGAGAAATGTAATGTTTTACTGTCGTAATTTATATACTGGTAACAGGGCTTTTTTTTCTTCAATATTTCTGGAGACGGACAAAATTTTGGAGCCAACAAACTAAATTTAAGTCAATTTTCAGTTTTTACTCAAACAAATTTGGATGTTTTTGTCCCAAGCTTCTGAAGGTTAGTGCAAACTATAAATGGCACTATTTTGTAGATTTGTAATTAAAAGAGGGAACTGGTTATGATAAAGTTAAAGGATTTCAAAACATAGGCTTGTAGAATTGGAAAGCAGGATACCAAAATGAGACATATTTCTGTAGATTACAAGACTTGGTCACTGCCATATTGTTCTGAACACCAAAACAATAACATTGTTAGTAAGTTATTGACTGGCTTGTTATGCACATTTCCAGATTGTTGTGATTAGAACTGGTTAGTTCAAACCACCATGCACAGCTTGATTAAGTTCGCTCATTTACGAGAGTTACAACATGCATCAGACACCCCAACGACTGTGTCATGTCATTTCATATTGTGTCGGTACATAAATTTTGTTTGGATAATTTTAATAATTTATTATATAGAAATGCATGCGATTGAATGAAATAAATCGCATCCTGGTCTTCTTTTCCTTTCCATCATGTTTGAGCCTCCCACTATTTGTTTAATGTCTCAGTGTTCTCCCCAGGAATTTAAACCACTGTGGTGGCGTAATTTGCATATCATTTGCATATCATTTACATAATAATATAGATTGATCAAAGCACATTTACACCCACACAATAAACAACATATATTTTCAAAAACAAAGTGACAGATATTTATTTGCTTCACAGTGTTATAAACACTTTTTTGGGGCACTTTTGTAATATTAATGAGCTCCGTCACAGTGCAAATATTTTTTTTTGCAGTCAGAAAATTACGTTTCACATCTAAGAAGAGTTTGAATTTAAAAATGAAACATTCTCGAAATGCAAATGCTGCAGACTAAAAAAAAGGTTGAATGAATGAAACACATCTGAAACGTTTCAGCCAGGATTATGTTCACGACTTTCATGATCTTATTTATTACAAAATTCTCCTTCAAAAAATCCACCACGTAATTATTTGGCGGATTGCTGGTTATTATTCCGACCATCAGCTTCTACAACGTTTACATTTACAGTAAATGAACGAACAAATAACACTTCCAAACGATCATCAAAGTTACGACGTGACATAACTTACTTCGCGATGTTATACACCAGTTATACCAATAATTCCTCTTACCCAGTCAGGATGCCATGCAAAAATTAAATACTTACAACGTAAAAAACGTAAAATTTGAACTAATTTTATCTGGAGAAATTATTTTTGATCACTTTGGCGAAAAACACAGACCCGCCATGATAGCTGTGACGCGTTAGTTGACCACATGTGTCCTTTGACCCGGTGGGTCAAAAAACGCCATTAACCAATCAGAATGCCGCATGGTAATGCCGGTAGAACCGAAGTTTTCCGAATGATCGTGATCATAAAAATTACATTGCGGAAGTAAAGCGATGTCGTAGCACGATGTGTTGGTATGGATTTCAGATAAAAACTGCATGATGGTTTTCGAAAGAGGTGATTAGCAATTTTTAAAATGTAAAAGAAGTCTTGAAAGAAGAGTTTTTACATGATTCACGATGATAACAGTTCAAATGTATTTTACCCAATCACGCAATAAACACGTTTTTTTTCTTGAGTAGCGTAAACTGATCGTGAACTCCGCTTTGCCCATGTTACATCGGGATGGAATTGATTTTGAAAGAATTTTAGCTTTCAATCTAAAGACTGCGTCTATCGTCAGAAAATATTTACTTACTTACAAAGAGGTTATTATCCACGACTGGCAGGATGCTTGTCGGTCGGTACGTAAGTATAATAACAATATGACCATAGTCCTGGTCAGAAGCGTTTCCGTGGTGGTCGCTAATTTTGAGTGCCAGTCGGGCCGACCAGTGTGACGAGATCCCCAATGAAAAAAGCACTGTGGCGGTCTTGCTAATCACCGTGGCGGTGTCAGACCGGTGTGGCGGCAAATCGAAGCACTGTGACGGCACCGCCACGCTGTTTACATCCTGGGGAGAACACTGTGTCTGCTGTTGAGGTTGGTTTAATCCAACTTGTTCTAATTGAGCAACAATCTCCATGCGTGCATAGCAAACCAGTCGGCGGCAACTTAGCTGGCAATGTTGCTGATTTGGTGTTCAGAATGATGGTGATGAGAGTAAAAATTCAAAGTAGTTGTCTTAACTAGCTTGGTAGAGAACTATTTAGTCAACAGCCATCTCTTAACTAAAACCTGCATACAGGTTTTCTAATCAGGACATATTTAGGCAAGGAATTGTCATCTTTGTCAGCATTATCAAAACCAAAATCTTTCGTAATTCTTTTTATAGGACTTGTTTTACATTATAGATTCCTGTTTAGTTTATATGGTAAACAGATTGTCTGATAAAAGATTCAAAACAAATAGTTCACATGTAATTTATGTGCCATGAGGTATACCCCTTCAGATACAAGATTTCATGTCTGCCTGGTAAAGACTGTGTTAAGTGTCAAATTGAACTAATTTTTTGCAGGGTTCATCCAACTCTTATGCCATCAAGAAAAAAGATGAGTTGGAACGTGTGGCCAAATCTAACCGTTAAATACATACTTGCAGCATCCGAAGAATTGAGCTCTTTAACTGTTATGTATTTTCGGCAAGAGTAAATAAATAAGTGCCACCAAGAACTCTTTTGTTGTCGTGCATTATGCGATTGCTCTGATTCAGATTCCAGGTTCATGTCATTGCTGCTCAGACTTTTAGGCGTCTGAGGTTGCTGTTGAGAATGACTCACTGCAGCACATATATGCAATGCATTTTGGGAGAATACCCCCCCCCCCCCCCTATGGACTAAATTTTGTTTTAACGTGAATACTATATTTTCATTCCATGTCAGAGCTAAATTTGTTGAAGGAATAATTTTTCCACAGAAACAAGTGTGAAAAGCCCAATACATTCAATGACATTTCAGATTTTCAACTTTACATAGTATAATATGACATGACATAATCTTAAATTTGGTTCAAACCTACTAGTATGGTGCATGAGTTTCTGGTTTTGACTTGCAAATCTTTCCTATCTGATCATTTAAAGTAGAAATGTATGCAATAAAATTTCCCTGGTGTTGAACACCTGTATGTAGGATGTTTGTTTCAAAGAAGCATTTGACGTGAAGGAAATCTGCATTTTCTGTCAAACCATGAAAGAATGAATAGTATTGCCAGTGATGGCACTATTCAAAGCACTACTGCCCTCTATAGTTGAAATATGCAAATTCCTGTGAGGACTTCCTTCATAATTCAAATTGGTTACAAAGACAAAAATATTGGTTTAATTTGTTGAAACCACATGTAATAGAATTCTGGCCAGAAAAGCTTTGCCAGCTCCAAAAATGGATTTAAACACAGATTTGTCAGTTTTTCTACCTTCAATATTCTCAGAAATGCATGCAGTTTGTAAGTGTCTAAGTGAGAGTTGCCCAGATCCACAGGTGATCAGTACTTGTCAATAAATAAAGCTACACATGCAAGTCTAATGGTTGGAGTATGCGATAATACGTGGTGAAAGAAAACTCGTTGAATAACAACCCTAAGATTTGAGGGCTATGAACGCCGATAGGCTAATTAGTGGCATGGGACCTTAATGCCAATGCTGGGAGTTCATCTTGCTGTCAAAAAAGGTTTATAAAATATTGTCAATGTACAATTAAAATGCAGTTCAAGATGAAGAAAACGAAGGCTTTTGTGTACATTGCAGTAACCCTGGCCAGGTCTTTAATAAGTACCCAGTATATTTTTTCATAATTTGGTTAGGATAATTAGCAACACAAGAGCAAGTTGAGCAGAATATGATACACTTGAGTACTTGTTAGAAGACTTGTGGGTTTCTGGAGTGAATGTTGTGTAATCTTGCCATTTTCCTTTGCGTAATACCGGTAGTCATTAAAATAGTCTCCTGAATATCTACCTAACCACGGTATGGCAGTCTCATTTAAGATTTGAAAAAGTTTTTTGTATTCACAAGACATTGAATGCATGTACATGAACTAATATTGTTAGCTGCTCATTATTGAAACTGCACATTCTTATTGGTGAGTCAATAACTAGGCACTGATTGAGGTAATTCATGAATAAATAGTATACCGTAAAATGATTAATTTTCACTGGGTTTAAATTTCACTGATTTACCATTTCGGGCATATTCAGTGGGTTTTAAACTCGCGGTTTTGTCAATTAGATAATGTGTTCTATGCTAAATTTTACATATTCGCTGGGTTTTAATTTAGCGCACTTTCCAGTCAGCGAAATAAGCTAAATTAAAACCCAGTGAATAATTACCCCCTTTACAGTAAATGAAATAAAGGTCTGCTCATTGCAGGCTAACAGGGCTTGGACGGGGGATGTTTGCTTAAATGGGATTGATAGTCTCTTTCTGTTGCACATTTCACCATCTTTGCAGTTCTTTATTCCCTAATCAAGTGTACGAGTGCCAATGTTATCAAACAGAATATCACAATATTGTACATGTATTCACTAAATTTAGTTTGCAAATAAGTATAAAGTGAATAAAAGTCTACTTGAATCTTAACTTTCAGTTTTACAGTTTATTTAATACTTTTCTATATACAGATAGATAGGGGGTATAGTACATTTGAATAAATGCATGGTACTGTAAATATGTGGTGAAATCATTGCTGATCTCTTCACTGCTTGTATGTATAATCAAAATTAATTGATCACTACTGTGAACGTCGATAGTAACCTCAAAACTATTATATCCCTCTTATCTGGTCAATTTAAAAAACTACACGAGGCTGGCAGGATAAAGGTTAAAGTTGCATTCTGAGAAGCAGAACTAACTCATCAATCACAGTGAAAGATAGTATGCAAGACCAGATTTTCTTTTTTTTTGGGTAAATAAAAAAAAATTATATAATACATTATGTACTTCATAATTAAACATTTAAATCTCCCGCAAATTGTATTAAAACTTAATTATGTATACTGTCATCCAGTGGTGCAAGGAGTTACTATAAAATAATTTATTTTAGCTGGAATAAATTTTCACTGAAATCACATTTTTGGTGTTTTGTATGGAATTTATTTTCAGTGATTTTTGATGAGTTGAATGTAAAATATAGGAAAAAAATGTATATTCGCTGGATTTTATTTTCACTGAATCATCTCTCCAGCGAAAATTAATTGTAAGCGAAAATAAAGTATTTTATAGTAATATCAAATTGATAATGATTAATAACAGTAGGTGTGGGCAGATGGTTTTACTATATTACTGTAAGTGAGCACTCAATCCCATGGTTTCACATCTACAGAAGCATAATCGTGTTAACAGGCTTTACGTTAGAAGTAAACTGATGAATAAACTTGTCACTATAAAGCAATCATGCTTATTTTTGAGAGAAATATGAAAATAAGAGTTTAAGCACTGTGATGCCAGAATGCATTTATGTGACTTTCAGTGTAAGCTGTGGGAAAATAATCTCAAACGGATTTGACAGATGAAAATGAAACAAAAATAACGGAATGAATAAAAAAAATGAAAATGTAATTTATTGTGAATTACCGGTACTACTTGACAAAAAATGAACCTAAAGTGAGAAATGTTACAGATCTGCTAAGGGTATATAGATTTAGTACGTTTCTCCACACAGCGTGTATGGGTAAACCAAAAAGTAAAGTGACCCCATCATGAGTGCCCGCTTACAGTGAAAATGAAAAATACTTTCTAATTTACAAAGAACTCGGAAATCATCAATTAAATGGCAGTAACTTTTAGATCACACCTTCGTTATGAACATCATTTTTTTTTTAATATTTTTTTTTACAAAATTACAACTTAAGCAACTGCTGATGATGCAGAAAAAAAATCTGACTTATAATGCCACAATTTTTTTTTCTGAATATCAAAAAACAAAAAACCCAGTTTGAGAGCTAAAAAAACAACACTGAGTTGTTGACCTGTAAGCTCTATCAGTACTAAAATAACACCAGTAACTATGGAAACAAAACATGTTTTCAACTGTGCACTAAAATCAATGCATCATTGGAATATTGATTAAAATTGCAACTAGTAAATGTTTGTTTTAATAGTAACTTGTATAAAAAAAAAACTTATACATATACATCTATATGGTAAATTCAGGTAAGTGTTAACTTACTTCTATTCTGACTTGATAACTACATGGACAAGTACAGTAGAGTATCTGAGCACAACTTAACATTAGCTACACACATTTTTAAGCTCAGCTTCCTCCCATTACTGACATACATCTAAATTGTGCGATGTAAGCTAAATATGTCTAATATCAGTACTTCTGATGAATATTATAAGTTAAAATTATTCACGACAATGATATACACTTGTTGTGGAAAGCCAGCTTGAGAATAATGTTACACTTGAACCGTCTTGTATATAGTGTGTATTGATCTGTACAATCTTGTTAACATGCCAGCCACAGATAGCCTATTACAATATATTCCAGATCTCATAAAATCTTTGTACACATGTAGGCATTGTCTAATAATGGCTCAATTATACAACTAAATCAAAACTTTAAAGGACGGTGATTTTTATAACTGTTTGATATGAGTATGCACATGG